GAAAGAAAACGCAAGGAAAGAAACGAGAATGAAAGGAAAAAAACGAGAATGAAAAGGAAAAAGAAGAAGAAGAAAAGAAAGGAGCAGAAGAAGAAGAAGAAGGAGGAGGAGAAGAAGAAGGAGAGGAGGAGGAGGAGAAGGAGGAGGAGGAAAGAAAAGGAAAGGAAAGAAACGAGAAGAATGAAAAAGGAAAAATCGAGTCGAAAAAGACCAAGAAGAAAAAGAAGAAGAAGAAGAAGGAGGAGGAGGAAGAAGGAGGAGTAGAAAGAAAACGCAAGGAAAGGAGAAGAAAAAGGAGGAATCGAGTCGGAGGAAGAAGGAAGAAGAAGAAGGAGGGGAGGAGGAGGAGAAAAGAAAAGAAAGGAGGAGGAGGATGGAAAGAAACCAGAAGGAAAAAAAGGAAAAATCGAGTCGAAAAGAGCAAGAAGAAGAAGGAGGAGGAGGAGAGAAGGAGAAGGAGGAGAAGAAGAAGAAGAAGAAGGAGGAGGAGGAGGAGGAAGAAGAAGAAGGAAAAATGAAAAAGAGGAGGAGGAGAAGGAGAAGAAGAAGAAAAGAAGAAACGGAGGAGGAAAGAAACGAGAAATAAAAAAGAAAAAACTGAAAGAAAACGAAAAATAGCAAGAAGAAGAAGAAGAAGGAGGAGGAGGAGGAGAAGATGAATAAGAAGAAGAAGAAGAAGGAGGAGGAGAAGAAGAAGAAGGAGGATGAGAAGAAGTAAGAAAGAAAACGCAAGGAAAGAAACGAGAAGGAAAAGGAAAAATCGAATCGAACAGACCAAGAAGAAGAAGAAGAAATACAAGTTACTTAACTAAATTTTCTGGGCGAAAAAATCCAACCTTTGAAAATATTTCCCTACTGAGATTTTCTCCGCCATTACTTATTCTTCTACTTTATCCAGAACATTGTTTTTAATTAATATCGCCAATGACAACTACAGTTTATTCGTAGACTCTTGCTTTCGATTTGCATAAAGTTACAATTTTGAATCTTGTCAAACGAAATCATTTTGTGGATGCTATTGCATCCTAAAAACTGATTTCATCTGCACTTAAACTTTTACTTTTGATGCGAATTAAATCTTTAAAATAAAATAAAAAAAGGAAGATTCTCCGATGGATTCGAATTAATATTTTAAACAAAGTTAAAAATGAAATAATTTTTGTACGAATTTTTTGAGATGAGGAATATCCATTTTATTTCCTGATTTTGTTGAACTGTTAGGCTCATCTTGGTTATAATATCCACGGTTTTGGCTGCTCTAAACCCCGTCCTTTCTCAGGTGGCTTTCGTCTTGAGTAACATTCAGGGAAGTTCTAACAGAATGCTTTATTCAATCCGTTTTCTTTATCGCATAGATCACTTGATGTATGCGATAAAGAAAGCTTCTCTGAATTCTTAGATGGAAATTCATCATTATTGGAACGATTGTTTTCAACTTGATCGTTATAGCCTCAATGATTCAGCTGCTTTTGTTTGTTTTTTTTTTCTCCTGTTCACCCATAAGCAAAGGTCAAATACGAGGACTGATGTCTTGAGGTGGCAACCAGTCTAGGAGAAGGAAAAGTCAAATTCAAACTCAGACTGAACAGGGGTAGACTCCGTCCGGTTGCCCTAGACACACCACTGTTGTTATTTTCTCTCAATCTTCCTTGTTTCTCGCATAATGTATGGGATTCTCAATATTCGACGACAAAATCTTATTTCTTTTGCTTTCTTTATCTCTGTGAAAATAGTGTTGACTGCTATATAGGATGTTAGACATTGCATATCAGTGCAGTACTTTTTTTTAATTAAGCGGGAAATTTCCAGAGATCCGAAAGCAACAGGAATCTTTTGGGTAGCAACAATGATCATTATTGATTGCTAATTTTTAAGGCAAGCTGGTTTTCTCCCCATGGACGACTGGCGTTATAAAATCTTCCTATAATCATGTCTCCTTGTTTTTCTTTGTACATTACTATGCAATGTATTGACTCAACAAAATCACTTCAAATAAAATACATAAATCATATTTGGTAATCACCTTTAGTTAAATACTAAGGTTGAATGATGAATGTTTTTAAGAAAATTCACCCCAAGCAAGGCGGGAGTGCCACTAGCACGCAAGGGGTTACAAAGGATTGTGGACAAGAGTAAATAGACATGCTTGGGGAAAGGATACAGAGAAGGACGTGGAACAAGCTCAGGATTTTAGATGTCGATTGACATTACACTTAAATATTTGAAGATTATAGTTATCAGTGAAGCAAGTAAGGGGAAGGGAATTCCACAGACAGGAAGTGCAGCGGAAGAAGCTGTTTGAGTAGAAGAGACGGTTACATTTAACCTTTTTGACAGTGATAGGGTGAGACCAATATACCAGCCTGGTAGCTCGCTTAAATTCATGCAGGCCTGGAACCAGTGAAAATAGCTGGTCTGAACAGTTGTCGTGAAAATATTTGTAGAAGAGACAGAGGGAGGCCACAGCACGTCTGTGGGATAGCGATTGTAGACCAGATGCCAGATCAGGACCTATCATCTTGCATATTCGTCTCTAGATTTTGTCGAGGACCTCGACACTTGCAGCGAGGGCACCAGACCATATATGACAGCAATATTCCATGCAAGGACGGATGGTTGATTTATAGTTTTGAAGGATGGACTCAGACGAGAAAAGCTTTTTGGCACGACACAGAGAACCACTAATCCACACTCGGAATTCTGAAGAGAAAGAATTTTACTTAATTTTGTCATTAATTTAGTTATTTTGTTTGGTCCAAAAATTATTTTACTGGATTGGAGAACTTATTTAGCAAAAAGCACTCATAATTCTAAAGTGAATTAAATGAATTCAATCTTGATACCAATTGGATTAATCTGTCTATACCAAAAATGTTTTATTGGTTTGTGGATTTACTTATCAATCAACCCCCGTAATTTTCGAATAAATAAATTGATTTTATTTCGATACCTGTTTCATTAGTTTTTTTTTTCAAGGAAGTCGATCAGTTTGTCTACCTGGGAAGCGTCGTCAGTAATTAGGTGGGGGGCAGATGAAGAAATCAAGTGCCAAATCCCACAAGGCCCAACACACTTTCAACACTCTGCAGCCAATCTGGAGATCAACAGAATCTCTCACTTTATAAGATCCGGATCTTCAAAACCAAAGTCAAGTCGGAATCAAGAGGTATATATATATATATATATATATATATATATATATATATATATATATATATATATACTAACTTCTAACTTACTAACTAACACTGAATCTATATATTTTTACCATTTAATATTAAATTTGGTTTAATAAAGAAGATGAAGACAGAATAAAACTGAGTTAATTGGACCTTAAACAACAGAGAAGACCCAGTGCGACTCCACCAAGAAGACATCAAGGAAGTCGATAAGTTTGTCTACCTGGGAAGTGTCGTTAGTAAAGATGGTGGGGAGAAGACATCAATGCCGAAACAACGAAGCCCGACATGTTTTCAACACTCTGCAGCCAATCTGAACATCAACAGCTCTCTTATTTTATAACAAGCTCCGGATCTTCAACACCAAAGTCAAGTCGGGTCCTACTTTACGGTTCAGAAACCTGGCGGGTAAGCAAGACCAACCCCCACAAACTTCAGGCAATTTACCAACCGATGTCTGAGGGACATCCTCAATATCAGGTGGCCGGAAGTCATCTCCAACGACTAACAGTGGGACAGGACCAGACAAGCCCCCAGTCGAGATTGACATTAAGAAACGACGGAAATGGGGATGGATCGACCACACCCTCCGCAAGCCTGCTTCTAGTGACACCAGGCATGTCTTTGACTGGAATCCACAAGGGAAGCGAAAAGTGGGTCAACTAAAACAAATTTGGTGTTGAGCTGAAGGCAGCTGACACGACAGGGGCCGAGCTGAAGAGGATCGCTCGGAACCGTTGGAAGGATGTTGTTGCGGCCCTATATTTCCCAAGGCATCAACAGACAAGAGAGAAACAGGAATAGGGATTATACGACCACACATTCTGCAAAGTTGCTTCTAGTGTCACCAGGCAGGCCCTTGACTGGAATCCACAAGGGAAGCGAAAAGTGGGTCGACCAAAACAGACTTGGCGCAGAAGTGTTAACGCAGAGGTGAAGGCAACCAGCACATGGTCCGAGCTGAAGAGGATCGCCTCGAACTGAGTCTGTTGGAGAGGTTAAGTTGCGGCCCTCCGTTTCCCAATAGTGACTTTAATTATCAAACATTTTATTAATATTTGTTAGCAGCTTCAAGATATGCATTATTGAAAATCAGTGGTTAATAGAAACAAACTTCAAAAATTTTATGAATATGTTCAAGGGAAACATATTCATGACCAGTTATCAAGTGCGATTCATTGATATAATCTGTAATTAAAACTCAGTAGAGATAAGAAAAAGAAACGAAAATCTATGAAAACTTGAAACTCTCCTCTGTTTAGCACTTTCCCTAATATTTCAGTATTAGGTTAATATGCTAGTTTAAGTGTAATCATTTCAATAGCTATTGATTATTGATTTTCGAAATATATGTGGACTGGTCGGAATTGATTTGAAAATGATATTTCTAAAAGATATGAAAACAACACATCGCTAAAGAATAGCAGATAAATGATAGCTGAACGCTGTTTCTTGGGAAAAGTAGCAGAAATGTTTGCCTCTGGGAATTCCCGTTGTCATCCATTGAATAAATCTATTTCTTTTAAATCAGATAAAATAAAAAAAAAACACTTTTCAAGTTAAGAATGTGGGGGTTAAATACAAAAACAAACTCCAGCTTTTTTTTTTATTTGACTCTGTATTTTTAACTGATATTTCTCTTCCTTGATAAGCAATTTAAACGCTGTCATTCGAAAGATTTCATCTTTTATGTCCCGTGTCTCTTCAAAAAACTAGGCGGTCATGGCCCTCCGCATCTTCCTGTCCCTTGTAACTTTTAATAAGTTTTGTCCTTTTGTTATGCCTTCCAAATCCTCTACCAGTTACTTAAGCTCATCAAGTATGTCACGCGCTACATTCCTCTGTCCCTCTTTCTCTCTGCCCTTCTTTCTCCCTGTCCCTCTTTCCCTATTACATTCTGCCCCTCTTTCCCTCTGTCCCTCTTACCCTCTGTCCCTCTTTCCCCCTGTCCCTCTTTCCCTCTTTCTCTCTGTCCCTCTTTCCCTCTGTCCCTCTTACCCTCTTACATTCTGCCCCTCTTTCCCTATGTCCCTCTTACCCTCTGTCCCTCTTTCCCCCTGTCCCTCTTTCCCTCTTTCTCTCTGTCCCTCTTTCCCTCTTACCCTCTGTCCCTCTGTCCCCCTGTCCCTCTTTCTCTCTTTCTCTCTTTCCCTCTGTCCCTCTTACCCTCTGTCCATCTTTCCCTCTTTCTCTCTGTCCCTCTTTCCCTATGTCCCTCTTACTCTCTTTCTCTCTTTCCCTCAGTCCCCTGTCCCTCTTTTCCTCTTTCTCTCTGTCCCTCTTCCCTTCTGTCCCCTGTCCTCTTACTCTTTCTCTCTTTTCCTCAGTCCCTTGTCCCTCCCCTCTTTCTCTCTGTCCCTCTGTCCCTCTTTCCCTCTGTCCCTCTGTCCCCCTGTTTCCCTCAGTCCCTCTTTCCCTCTGTCCCTCTGTCCCCTGTCCCCCTGTCCCCTGTCCCTCTCTGTCCCTCTTTCCCTCTGTCCCTCTTACCCTCTGTCCCTCTGTCCCTCTTTCCCCCTGTCCCTCTTTCCCCCTGTCCCTCTTTACCTCTGTCCCTCTTACCCTCTGTCACTCTTACCCTCTGTACCTCTTTCCCTCTGTCTCCCTTTCACTCTTTCCCTCTGTCCCTCTGTGTTAAGTATAATTTTCCTTTTTGTTTCCATTTTCTTTCAAACATCATCGTTGCTTACATGTTCAGTCCATAGCATCTTTCTGTAAAACCTTATTTCTGTTGCTTCAAGTCTCTTCTTCCTCTTTGAGAAGATTGTCCAACATTCACTGCCATACAGGAAGACACGTATGACGTACTTTTTTCTTTGTTTCTAACGAAATTTGTACCCTACAAAAAGAGAATCGTTTCTTCCTGGTATTACGTATAAGTGTCCATTTTGTTTTCATTCTCTCCAAAAACTCGTCGTTGCTCACATGTTCAGTCTATGATATCTTCAGTATCTTTCTACAGAACAAAGATTTAAGATTGCTTTAAGTCTCTACTTCATCTTTGAGGAGATTGTCCAACATTCGCTCCCATCTACTATTATTTTTTAAGAAACGAAACCTGTTTGTTTCTTTTACGCGATAACACTTAATAAAAAACAATAGCAGAAAGTTAAAGCAATAAGTATGATAAGTATCAACGTCAGTTTCAAGACTAGGTGTGGGCGAAGGATAGCTGGACAGTCGAACTTCTGAGGACATTCTTCCACATATCTGGGTTCGAAGTTGTATTGATTCGTTGTTGCGTCTCTTTAGAGAAGTAGACCTGGTGGGGATCATCCTTCTCTAGATGAACCCACAACCGAAGTCCTCCAGTTTGAAGGTTCGCCTTGGTCAGAGTTACATGGCCGTTGATTTCACAGGACTCTTTTGGTCGATTACTTCAGTCTAGGAAGCCCTTACGCGTAGCGATGCTATGTAATCGCAACACTAGCCCCGTTGCACTGGATGGCCATTGGCACTAGAAGAAGGTCCATCCTCCCTTTGACAGGCTTTGTTTTTAATCCAGCTGAGTGTCTAACCACCGTCCTTCATCAGAAAAAAGCCTAGCGAGAGCAAGGGGCTTAGTCGCTGATCACCCGACCATTCAGAAGATAGCACTGTATGAAAAAAAACTTCAAACATCTGACCCTCGCTACACTTGGCTTAATCTGGCACAAAACATAGTTGGGAGGAAAGTTGTTTGATTGTTTTTGTTTAGCGGCATATCAACACCTCTATGGGTTAATTAATGCCAAGATCTAAATATATGTACAGATATCGTGTACCTAAGTTTATACTTTCAGGGCAAACGTATGTCTTTTAGATATATAGTTTGCCACTTGATAAAAATAGTTTGCCACTTGATAAAAATGTATTGTTGGTTTTTTTTTTAATTATTGCTGGTAATTTTATTATAATGTATTTTTCTACTTTTTTAGTGTTGCAGATATTGTCATTTTACCATTAAAATGTATTGTTGGTCATTTGACTATAAAATGTATTGTTGGCCATTGTACTAAAAATATATCGTTGATCATTGTACTATAAAATATATTATTGGTCATTGTACTTAAAATGTAATGTTAGTCATTGTACTATAACATGTATTGTTGGTCATTGTACTATAAAATATATTATTGGTCATTGTATTTAAAATGTATTGTTGGTCATTGAACTTAAAATGTATTGTTGGTCATTGTACTTAAAATGTATTGTTGGTCATTGTAATATAAAATGTATTGTTGGTCATTTTGCTATAAAAACATATTGTTGGTCATTATACTATAAAATGTATTATGGGTCATTGTACTTAAAATGTATTGTTGGTCATCGTACAATAAAAATATATTATTGGTAATAATTTTTTATATATAAAAATGGATTTCTGGTAATTTCGCTACAAAAATGTATTGTTGGTCATTTCTTAATAAAAATGTATTGCTGGTATTTTACTAAAAAAAACGTTTTGATTTGTTTTTTGGGGCGTTCACTATTTGCCCGGAGCTGGGACCCTAGCAGGTGCTACCACCCCGGGTCAGAGTGAACCTTAGAACAACAGCAAATAAAAGGTGGTTCCATGTTTCTCAAAACATTCAATCTCCTCATCAAACGCCTTGTTGCCGGATGCAGCTTATCGTCATACACAGGAAGATTGTGTTGTGTCAAATGTTAAAGTGTAGAAAGTGAAAGCAACATTCTTTGGTTTCTCAGCTGTACTCAACACCAGCGACACGTGCTGATGGGAAATTTGTAACTGTTTCAATCAGCAAGCGCTCTCACCGATGTAAATGGTCATTGTGAAGGTTGATAAAGGAAGTAGCAGCTTTTTACAATCTTCGCCTTGGAGGTTTAGTTACTATAGAACTCTCCCACCCTGCTCCATCAGTGTGAATAAGGTGATACCTGGGTAAGGCACAATGGTGCAAATGCTCGTTTTGTCAGATACATTGAGAAGCCTGCGAAGACCATAAAGTCGATTCTAAAATGGTTGGATGAGGATGTTGGTGAGGAGGAAAGGAGAGGGGTCTTAAACGATAAAAATATAAGATAATCTTAAAAGTGTAAAAAAAAATGCAGTTATTAATAAAAAGAGTTGAAATTAATGCTTGTAAGGTTTCACAGTTCTAGTATCACTCTTTCATGGTCAGCCTATGAACTTTACAGTCCAACTTTGTAGAACACGTAATTAAAATGTTGAAATGAGAAAAGAGTTGTTAATAATTAAGTATCATTTTGTTTTTTATGAAGACACCTGAAGTGTTGCAGACAGTTAACTTCTAATACTTGTACACCGAAGCGGCTGGAGATTGATGCTGCCGGAGTATCGTTTCTTACTTATCTCTGAAATCTGTCTATATTTCTGAGATGAGGTATTATGTACACTATTTACATTATTCGGACTATTGTCCTCATCTATTGTCGCCATATTTATTACAACGTTTCGGCCGTTGTACGCTCCGGCCTTCTTCAGGTGGTTGGAATGTCAATCTCAACCCTTTATTTCGCTCACTGGGGTAGACTGTTCTAGTTCCACCTTCCATGTTTAATGGATGTCAGTTATCTCCCACTGAAAGTTCTCCACTGCCTTAGCCGGGTATTGAACTCACACTCTTTGGGTCTTGTCACTGGATCTAATCAACGCCTTTGTCTACTGTGCCATGTGTCCTTGACATGGCACATGGAACTAGAACAGTTTACCCCAGTGAGCGAAATAAAGGGTTCAGTTCGACATTCCAAACACCTGAAGAAGGCCGGAGCCTCCAACGGCCGAAGCGTTGTAATAAATATGGCGACAAAGATGAAGACAATAGTCCGAATAATGTAAATAATTTACTTATCTCTGTTTTCATAATGATGCACCTTTCATCTTCTTCGATCAGCTTAAAAAATATCGAGATTTATAGATTATTAAAGAAAGATGTCGCCAAATTTATTGAATAAAACGAAACGAGAAACCCTATAGAATATTGTTCCAGAGGACTAAAGTGTTAATTCCTGAATTAGATGACATAGTAATTGTGAGTTCAATTCCTGGGCTGGGTAGTACTGATTCATCTTTTCTTTCTTTTTATGTGCCATGTCATTTCAGGATGTAGGCGATCATGGCTCTCCACCTCCCTCTGTCCCTTGCAGCTCTCATCAAGTTCCTTCCATCTGCCTCTTCCCGCAGACCACGCAGACTCAAGCTCGTCAGGGTAGTCACGCGCTGCTTTCTCTTGTCTCTCTTTCCCTCTATTTGTCCCGTGAGTATCAGATTCTCTAGGCCCTCTTTCCGCATTATGTGTCCCAGAAACTTCAACTGCCTCTATCTGATGTTACGTATAAGCCTCCTCCTTGTTTGTAACCTCTCTAAGACATCGTCGTTGCTCACATGCTCGGTCCATGATATCCTTAGCAATGGACTGATTCATACTCACTTGAAACAGGACTCACAATAACCGAGCAGTATTAAAAAAAAAAAAAACAAGACAACATATCTCGAGGAATTAATATCGGAACGAGAACAATCTGCTCTCGTAGGTCAAATGAAGGGTTCAATCGGAAATTCCTTGCAGATTACCCGGATTGAAAGACACCTGAAAAGGCTGGAAGGCATAAGGGACGAAACAACTCGAAGACATTATTAACTAATGTAAATAATGATAACTCATCATCATTGAAAATTCAGACTAGCATAAATCGAACCTAAACGAAGAAACATTGTAATTATGTTTGTTGCGGGCAGGTATACGCGTTGAGAAATAAACTCGTGTGTCTCCTGAAATGCCTACAACCAACATGGCGGACTCGGGATATGAGTCCACATAAATAAATCTAAAGAAACAACAAGGACCAATATATATGTACAAGCAAATATATTAACAATAAAGGGCTACACAAACAATAGAATATTGTTATGTGTTACTGAACAATGAACATGAATGAAGAAAACATTTAAGCTAGTGAATTGTTTGTGTATGTACAGTTTGTGTAGGAGAATGTTCAAGAAAAATGAGGTGAAAGGTGCGTGAGTATGTACGTGTGTGTGTGTGTGCGTGTGTGTGTGTGTGCGTGTGTGTGTGCATTGTTCATGCGTTTCCCAAAAGAAAACGCGTTCTTCCACAAGAGACTTACATGTTGACGTGTAAACGGAAAAATTGAGAAGAGGGCGAAAAAAGATATCACCGTTGTATTTATAATCCGGAAAGCGTCCCCTAGTAGCAATTTCGAAAATTAGGAGAAGGTAACCCGACAATGCTTAAGTCCGGAGGATCGCTACGATATATATTTTAAAAAAATTGTATAATTCCTAATGGATCATTGTTCTTACCCAATCATTTCTACTTTATACTTCCTCTGAATTTGACTTAGAGATATTTCAAGATATTTAATTCTAGCTTTTTTTAGCCTTAGTTCATTTTTCAAGAAATATATTTCTTAATCATTTAATGCTTGGGATTTTTTGAAAAAGTTAATTATTGTTCTTTTTTGTTGTTTTCTCTGTGTGTGTATGTAAGTGTGTTGGGAGTGTCAGAGAGAGAGAATACGCGGGAATGTGTGTGTGTAAATATATGTAAGTATGTGGGGAGTGTGAAAGAGAGAAAGAGAATACGTGTGTATGTGTGTTTTACCAATAAAACATTTTTTCTAATTACGTCTCCACTTGTTAATCCAAGCGAAATGTCTTTTTTTTTTCCTTCGTATAAAAAAAAAGAATCAAGATTCAGCGTAAAAATTACAGTTGATAGATGAGCGGGAAAATTTCAACTTCACTATCGTCTGCAGCCTGTCAATTCTCTGATGAGAATTACAAACCCGTGTTCTTTTTGTTTTTATATATACTCCGGCACTTTTGAATCTAGTTTTATTTAAATTATTCCCGCAATCAAGAAAATCACTTGATATAATTTTGTCTATTCTTTTAAAGCCCGTTATTGTTTCTTTCATTTGTCGGATATAACATTTAATTCTTAGTGAATCAAGCGAAACAAGAAAGAAAAAAAAAGAATAGACGACAGAGGAAAATACAAAAGAATGCTACCAATACTCTTGAAGGAGCGCGTAAGCAATGAAGATGGAAACAAGGATCCGACTGATACTCAGAATCAGAAGGTGGCAGTTAAAATTTCTTGGTTACATAATGAGGACAGAGGGTTTGAAGAATCTGACACCTACAGGATATATCGGTTTATTCCGATTTGATATTAAAGGAAGACAAAGGTATTTGGAAAGTTCGCTTTTAAAAAGTAATTAGCATTCATTTTTATTATCATTTCAACCCAAGCATGGCAATGAAGCCACTAAGACGCAAGGGTTTGCTGAGTTTGAAAAAATAGGGGAAAAAATACATTATTAAGAAGAGAGAACAATGAAAACATAAAACTTTATCTGGGAAACATTTTGAGATTTTCCAGACCCCACAAATATATTCAGTGCCGACGTTCAAGATACGCTCTCTACTATTGTTGATGCGGATGTTTTTATATACGATAGTGTACCTGGGTATTTAGACACACAAATTTGAGAGTTTTAAAGCCATACCTTACTGGAAGCATTTCAATATTGATAAATGAAGCAAAAACATGAAGTTGGATTTCTTTTATGTCAACGTACACTGGTTGTCACTTTTGTAATACTCGTTGTTGTAGAGTCTTTGTAATCGCAGATACAACTATAGTACGCCGTTGAACAATGCTTGTGTCAGACGCCTTCGAATATCCCTCGCACTAATAGTTTTTGCTCTAATGATAATTCGTAGAGTGATCCGAACAGAAAAATAGTATAGTGAATAGAGTAGAGAATAGCGGTCTGTATAGTATAACAGATAGACTAGAAATACTGATCCTAATAGTAATAGAGGATAGAATAGAAATAACGATCAATTAGACACACGTTACCTCCCATATAAACTCCTACAGCAACAAAAAAATTCTCAAATTGACATAAAAAAACGCACTCTTTTAAATTTCTAAAAAAAATTCAACCTTAGTGTTGCGACTGCACGATCTAAAAGTTTGTATCCGTTAACAATAACATATTTTTTAAAAATTTAATTTTTTCGTCTCGGATGCTACCTGGATTTTACTAATAACAAAATAATTTCCATGCCTGAGGATGACTGAATGTACAGTTGAAAGTACTTGCATATTAAAAAAGACCATATACAGCTTATAATTATTAAAAACAAGGTTCATAAAATTCATCGAGTAATTTTAGGTTAATGGAACTTTAAAATTTTGTTTCCTACAGGATTTCGCCATTTTATATTTTATATTTAACTTTACTAATCTACTTTTTTGTATGAATGATCCATTGTAATATATATATATATATATATATATATATATATATATATATATATATATATATCCTGCGCTTTCATAGATAGTTTCGTGATGTTAACGAACATTCGAATACTCATTGTCACTTTTGTAATGCTCGTTAAGACTGTGTACTCACAAATACAATATATAGTAACACCGTTGAACAATACTGGTGTCAGACGCCTTTGAATAACACTCGCTCTAATAGTACTTGCTCGATAATACTCGCTCAAATAGTAATCTGTATAGTGATCCGAATAGAGAAATAGTATAGTGAATAGAATAGAGGATAGCGGTCCGTATACCATAGAGGGTCGACTAGAAAAAGTGATCAATCAGACGCCTAGCTAATTCCTACTTATGCGTTTCCACTAAGGCGGCCTGGTCTACTTAATTCAGTAATGGGATCGCCTGTGTTTGTTCTCTGGCGATCTATGTTCAAACTCAAGTGTCGACAGTGACACTTTATTCCTATATAACAGTTTACTTATAAAATCATTGTATTTGCTTCTTTGCTTTACATTATTTTTACTTAATAAAAATTTCATAAAATAGTTTACCTTCGAATAGCGAGGTATTTAACCTAAAACACTTTGGGCCCTGTCACTGGATCTAACCAATGCCTATATCCTGTGCCATGTGTCCTTAAGGACATCTGTGTATGAATTTCTGGGTATTATATACCTAATGTCTTCAGCAACGATTATTACCAGTGCTCTTATTGCAATTTTTGCTGTTATCATTCATGTTTTTAGCAGAGCTCATATTGCAACTTTTGTTATTATCGCTTCTCTCTGGCACGCCTTATTACTGGTTACAATATTGTATTCATTTCTATGCTTGGTCGGCTCAGGAGATTTTTGTGGCCTAAAATATGTGCTGATTACTTAAAAAGGCAGGAGCGTACAACGGCCGAAACGTTGTAAGAAATATGGCGACAAAGATGAGGACAATAGTCCGAATAATGTAAATAGTCTACATAATGTCTCATCTCAGAAATATAGACAGATACTGAAGGGCCGAAACGTTGTAATAAATATGG